GCGGAGATGCGAAGGAAGGTGGGAGGGTGTTAGATAGTCAAGGAAATAAAAGAGAATTAGAGGAAAATAGTTCAGACGAAGAAAGAACAATTCGTAGGAAGGTCGTGAGGGAGGAATTTAAAATAATTCTCAAGTTTAAGAGGGAGGAAAATCAGGTATACTTAAGCCCAATTATAATATCTAAAGAAATAAAAAAGAAAATAGGAGAGGTAGAAATGGTGAAGGTGTTGAGGGATGGAAACTTACTGATAATCTGCAAAACTGAAGAACAGAAAAACAAAGCATTACAAGTTGATAATATCTGCAAAAAGGTGGTGATTGAGAAACACAATGTTGGAGAAAATAAAGTACTGAAGGGAGTGATTACAGGAATACCAGTGGAGGAGGATTTGGATAAATTAAAACGAAGCATTGTCGGAGTAAAGGTGAACAGTTTAAAGAGATTAATGAGAACAGTTGATGGAGAAAGAGTGGGAAGCATGTCTATTTTAATAGAGTTCTCCGAAACAATAATGCCAAATAAAATAAAAATAGGATTTATGAGTTTCCCGGTCAGGCCTTTTATCCCCCCACCACTCAGATGCTACAAATGTCAGAGGTATGGACACATGGCAGCGGTGTGTAAAGGCAAGCAGAGGTGTCCTAAATGTGGAGAGGAGCACAGGATAGAAGAATGCAGAGAGGACAAACAAGAAAAGTGCTGTAACTGTGGGGGTCAACATAGAGCTAACTCTGGAAAATGTGAGGTGAGAAAGAGAGCGGTAGAAATACAACAAATCAAAATGACTAAAAATATTAGCTACACTGAAGCAGTCAGGAGTGTTCAGGGACAAAAGAAAGGAGAAGCAGACCAGTCAGAGAATCAAGTTCCACAACAAACCAAACTGCAAACAGAGGAAAACATCACACTGTCAGTAGAAAAACTCATTTTATTCATAGCATATGTCATCAACTGCACAGATCAGGCTAAGCACAGAACAGAGAAGATTAAAATAATAGCAAGGGGGGCAGAAAAGTTTCTGGGAGTCAAAGAGGCGTCTTGGGAAAACATAAACAAAGGGCTGGAAATAGATGGGAGACCGGTAACACTGGGCGATAAACCCAGATGTTAATACTACAATGGAATGCCAGAAGTCTTATTGCAAATGGACAAGAATTTAAGGGATATATTGAAAAATTAGAAGAAAAACCAGAAATAATATGTATACAGGAAACATGGTTAAAAGCAACATTAGAATTTGTAATTAAAGGGTATGAGAGCATCAGAAGGGATCGGCAAGAGGGAAATGGAGGAGGGTGTGCAATATTTATAAAACAAGGAACACAATATCAAATATTAAGAAAAGGAGTAGATTTAGAATATATAGTGGTGGAAATATGGGACAAAGATGGAAAATATAAAATAATAAATTTCTATAATCCTTGTAAAAATATAACAATTGAATCAATGGAAGAAATAATGGGATATTTAGAAGGAAAGGTAATCTGGTGTGGGGATTTCAATGCTCATAGTACACTCTGGGGTAAAAGTAATGATAAAAACGGTCAAAAAATTGAAGAATTGATGGAATTAAAAAACCTAGTGTGTCTTAATGATGGAAGAGGAACCAGAATCAACGTTAGAACAGGAGAAGAATCAGCAATTGATTTAACACTAGTATCAAACTCACTGGCTGTCAGTTGTGAATGGGATATTGATAAGAATACAACAAATGGAAGCGATCATTACCCAATTAAGATTAAAATACAAATAAAACCAGAAAGCAGCAAAGTAGAGGGGAATAAAAAATGTAATTTCAGCAAAGCAGAATGGAATAAATTTAAGTATATCAGTGAACAAGAATTACAAAAAATTGACATGACAGCAGATGTAAATAATATAAATTCAAATATTTGTAGGGTTATTCTAGAGGCAATAGAACATTCAGTGAAGAAAGGAGGAGGAAGGAAAGAAAGAAAAATAGTACCGTGGTGGACAAACGAATGTAATAATGCAATCAAGTCAAGAAATAAAGCCTTTAAAATACTTAAAAAGAATCCTATTTATCAACATTTAATAGATTATAAAAGAGAACAAGCGATGGTAAGGAGGATAATAAAGGAGGCAAAAAGAAACTACTGGAGAAAATTCTGTGACACTATAGGGAAAGAGACTAAACTTGATAAAATCTGGAAAGTGATTAAAAGAATGAATGGCATCAGGAAAGAATATGTATACCCAGTATTGAACACAGATAAAGGAGCGATGATTAAAGATAAAGATAAAGCTGAAATGTTAGCTGAAACCTTTAGAAAGACTCATAGTTCAAATAACATCAGTGAGGAGGAAAAGAAAGGGAGGGAAGCCACAAAACTAAAGTATAAATATTTACAACAGAGTAGTGAAGTAAATGATAATTTATTGAACGCACCATTTAAAAAAGATGAACTAAACAGAGCTCTGAGAAAAACCAAGACAACAGCACCAGGAAAAGATCAGATCTGGTATTTAATGATAGATCATCTCAGTGAACCATCCAAAGAAATCATTTTAGAGCTGTACAATAAAGTTTGGGAGGAGGGGGAACTGCCTCAGAGCTGGAAGGAGTCAGTCATCATACCCATAGCAAAACCAGGAAAAGACAACACTAAACCGGAAAATTACAGACCAATCGCGCTAACATCAAACATATGTAAGATAATGGAAAAAATGATTAATGAGAGATTAACATATTATTTAAATAGTAATGGATATATATCTAAATATCAAAGTGGGTTTCGAAAAGGGCGTAATACATATGATTCAGCTTTACGGTTAGAACATGAAATCAGAAAAGCGCAGATAAATAAAGATAGTGTGGTGGCGGTGTTCTTTGATATTGAAAAAGCATATGATATGTTGTGGGTTGAAGGGTTGTTAATTAAAATAAAGAAATTAGGTATTACAGGGAAAATGTTTAAATGGATCAAAAACTTTTTATCAAAAAGAACAATACAAGTTAGAATAGGAGAAGAATATTCTGAGAAATATGGTGTAGAAAATGGAACACCACAAGGCAGCATCATAAGTCCCTTATTGTTTTCTTTAATGATAAATGATGTTTTTGCAGAAATAGAGGAGGGAATGGGCTGTTCACTCTTTGCAGACGACGGGGCAATTTGGAAAAAAGGAAGAAATATAGAAGTCACAGTAGAAAAAATACAGAAGGCTATTAATGAAATAGAAAGATGGGCAATAAAGTGGGGGTTTAAATTTTCAGTGACAAAAACAAAGGCAATGATATTTACACGGAAAAGAATTACAGAAGTCAAAAAACTAAAACTATACAATCAAGAAATAGAACAAGTTAAGAGTATAAAGTTTTTGGGAATGTGGTTTGATGAAAAAGTAATATGGAATATTCACATTCAGAAAATTATTGATAAATGTAAAAGGGTCTTAAATATTATGAGATGTTTGGCGGGAAATGAATGGGGAGCAGACAGAACAGCATTAAAGAGAATATACACCGGGCTGATCAGGTCAACTATAGATTATGGAAGTGTAATCTATAGATCTGCAGCAAAAACACATCTGGAGAAACTTGACAATATACAACATCAAGCACTAAGAATTTGTACAGGAGCATTCAGGACCACCCCAACCGCAGCACTTAAAGTAGAGATGGGAGAGATGCCTTTAGAAATGAGAAGAACACAGCTAGCAATTCATTACTGGATCAACTTACAAGGAAATAACCCGGATCATCCAACTTTAGACATTTTAAAACCATGCTGGGAAAAAGCAAAGAGAGAAACAGGAAGCTTCGGTTGGATAATCGATCAGAAGATACAAGAAGTTCAAATAAGAAACCTAACAATAAGTCCAATAATACCGTTACCAACAATACCACCATGGATACTACCATCTGCAAAAGTAGATTTTACACTTATGGAAAAGAAAAAAGATAAAAAAATCACTTTTAACTCCTATACAGTACAGAAATATATAAATAATTATTATGGTTATGTTCAGATTTACACAGACGCATCAAAAGACACAACAGGGAAAATAGGAATAGCAATTATCATACCAGAGTTCCATAAGAAACAAGTTAAACGTATTACAAATGGATTGTCAGTATACACCGGGGAAATGTTGGCAGTGTTATTGGCGGTACAATGGATAGAAGATGTCAGACCATTAAAAACAATAGTATGTTCAGATTCAAGTTCATCACTTACAAGCTTACAGCACAGCCACTCAGACAGCAGAGCAGACATTTTATTAGAAATCCAGCAAACATTATTCAGAATAATGATGATGGGTTTGGAAGTTGTATTTCTGTGGGTACCATCACACACTGGGGTTGAAGGAAATGAAGCAGCAGACAGGGAAGCAAAAAGAGCAACAAAACAACAAGTTAACTTTATAATAACTACAAGCAAATCAGAAGCAAGAAGCATGGTTAAAGAAAAACTGAAGGAAAAGTGGCAGAAAGAATGGAATGAAGAAAACAAAGGAAGATGGTATTATAAGATCCAAAGAAGAGTGGGAGAGATGAGAACAGGAGGGAGAAACAGAAGAGAAGAGAGATTAGTAACAAGACTGAGATTTGGACACACTGGACTGAACAACACATTATTCACACTACATAAACACGAAACAGGAAATTGTCAGTATTGTGGAGAGACAGAAACAATAGAGCATGTGATTTTAAGTTGTCAGAGATATGAGAGAGAAAGAAGACACATGATGGAGGAACTTAGAAAGATTAAAGAAACATTAAATATCACAAACATACTACAGAAAGAGTCAGGGAGTAAAAGTGTAAACATTTTGATAAGGTTCTTCATTAAAACAAAGCTGATCAATAGGATATGATTAGGACAGACAACACATACACAAGTAAATAGAATTTATTTATTTTATTTATTTATTTATTTTAAAAAGCATTCTGACCCACACTCCATACCAGTCGGTGGCGGTAATGCACACCATAAGTTGTTTGCCAACCGCCAATAAAACTGAAGAAGAAGAAGAAGAAGAAGAACAGCAGCAGCAGCAGCAGGTGAGCAGCAGCAGGAAGCTAGTTCAGGAAAAATGAACGTCTGAGCAGCAACATGCTGCTTTCAGCCCCACAGTTCGGCTGCACAGGTTAGGTTAGTATCATAATGTGATGATGTTAGCTTCGATTTAGTAACAGTTTACAGCTAATGGGTTAGCTTCTTAGCAATAACTAGCACTGTTTGTTTGTAGCATAGCTTTAGCTTGTAGCTAAATGTAAAACTGAGAAACCTCACAAACATTGATGTTTCAGCTTAACTTAAAAAACAAATAAATTACCACACTGCTAAAGGGACTGTTAGCATCTGGACTGGCTGCAAATTTACACTAACTCACTTTCTTAATTGCACATCTCCAGTGTTATCATTTGGTTTAGCATTTAGCTGCTGCCACTTAAAGCACAACTAAAATACCAGTGGATAAATGACTCCCCACTAACCATTTATCATGGTACAAACAAGCTTTGAACATGTCATTTTAGTAACGGTTTTCTGTTAAAGTGTGTTTTTATTTTAAACAACAAAAAAAAAGCAACACTTTTGTTTTTGCTCCCATTTTCCAGGAGCTGATCTCAAAGATCTAAGATTGTCTATGTACTGTATGCTGACTGCAGTAATGTCCACCAGACCTGTTGCCCATGACTTGAATGTTTATTTCTCTACCATAAGCTGTCTCCAAAGGTGTTTCAGAGAATTTGGTAGTTCAGGACCTCCACATCCAGCATGTTCACAAGAGTGGCCTTTTATTGTGGTCAGCCTAAGATACACCTGTGCAATAATCAGTGTCTGATCAGCATTTGATATACCACATGTGTACATAGAAACAGTCGTAGATCTTTGAGCTCAACTCATGAAAAATGGGAGCAAAAGCAAAAGTGTTGTATATTTCGGTTCAGTATAATTGCATTGAACCAGCAGCTACCTAAATAAGACATAAACAAAAAAGTCTGCTAGTTCTAATACTATTAGTGAAGTGTTGTTCTGAATGGATGTGTTTTTATTGTGTGTTTCAAACAAACTTTGTGTTTAGCACAAGCACCACTATCCACCATTGCTACTGTTCATCTGTTCGCAAAAGTGCAGAAAAACTATTGACTGCAGCCGTTCGTAAGTGCACGTGCAATTTCACACAGATGTTGGGGGTTTCCATAAACCTCCATTTGGAGGTCTCTGCTCAAAAAGCTTCAGTTTCAGAGAAAACGGCTGCTCTTGTCATGTGCACGAATGGCCGAAGTGTAGCAAAAATGCTACATCTCCCATTAACAAACTGGTTTGTGTGAACAAAGCATCACTCACCCAACTAACAACGCGTGATGTTTGATATAAAGTTAACATAACCCCTGATGTTCATGTTTGTCCATGCAGATGATGCTGATTAAAGAGGAAGGTCCTGAAGAACAGACGCCTGATGTGGACCAGCAGGAGATGGAGCTCGTCATCGTAAAGGAGGAAGAGCAGGAACTGTGGACCAGTGTGGAGGGGCGGCAGCTCGATGCAGAGGAGGAGACTGCTGTCGCCAGGTTTCCGCTCACTGCAGTTTCTTTGAAGAGTGAGGAGGATGAAGAGAAACCTCCTCAGCAACACATAGAAAAAAGAGATCTTCCAACCAGCAGCTCTGCTGATCACATGGAAACAGAAACTGGTGGAGGACAAGAAACTACCAGGAACCCAGGTCTGAAGACTCATGGAGATGATTCCAGCTCTTCAGAGACTGAAGTCAGTGACCATGATGAAGACGAGGATGAGAACCATTTTGACTGTCAGCTGAAAGGCTCGTCAGACTTTGAGACAAAAACTGAGGACTGGAAGGAGAGCGAGTCTCCTGGGTCAGGCGTGAACTCTGTCAACAAATCCTTCAGCTGCTCTGAGTGTGGTCAACAGTTTCTCCACACCTGGCCTCTTCAGAGACACATGGCAGGTCATTTAGGAGTGAAGTGCTCAAGTTCTTTGGTTAATAAGAAATATGTTGGAGTGAAGAAAACCGTGCAGTCAGGCACGAGAGACAAGATGAGACAGAAATCATTCAGTTGTGACGACTGTGGTAAAAGTTTTACCAGAAAAACGGATCTAAACACACACGTGAGAATCCACACGGGACAAGAAACGTTTGGTTGTGATGTTTGTGAACGAAGGTTTAGCTATAAGTCAAGGTTAAAGGCACACATGAGAATCCACACGGGGGATCAACCGTTTGTTTGTGACGTCTGTGGACAACGATGCAGCGGGAAGGCACATTTAAACAGACACATGAGCGTCCACACAGGACAGAAACCCTTCGCCTGTGATTTCTGTGAACTAAGGTTCAGCCAGAGGGGAAGTTTAAACATACACATGAGAATTCACACGGGGCAGAAACCGTTTGCTTGTGATGTTTGTGAGCGACAGTTCAGCCAAAAGACGGACCTGAACCGACACGTGAGAATCCACACGGGCGATAAACCGTTCGTTTGTCGCGTTTGTGGACGACAATTCAACCAGAAGGGAAATTTAAACACACACATGAGGATCCACTGAGAAAACAAACAGAAGCTCATCTGTAGTTAAAACACACACAATAACCACACGGGGCACACGCACACGAAATCTGAATGTTAAGTAGATTCTAGGGGTCTAAGTACAAGTATTTGTATCGAAATGTAACGGTGCAAAGGCTAAACAAAGAATGTGTTGGTCACAGCCACTAAGTTACCTGTGTAACTAAAAAGTGTTTTTTGTTGTTGTTGTTGTTGTTTACGCTGTAGTAACTGTTAACAACAAAAGAGCAGAGAAAGCTATTTAAACTACTGTACGGCCCTTTTGACATTAGAAGCAGAACACACTGAGGGTGTGTATGCGTGCGTGCCTGTGTGTGTGTGTGTGTGTGTGTGTGTGTGTGTGTGTGTGTGTGTGTGGTGTGCTGTTATCAAATGAGCAGTTTGTTGTCTCAGCATTAGGGGTGCACTGATAAATCGTCTGGCCCGGCCCCGATTTCCTTAATTTTGGGAAATCAGCCGATACTTGCATGAGAAACAGATTTTACTGATTTTTTTTTTTTTTGTAGTTTCAACAACAATTGTCTAAACTTCATTTATATTTCAGAGCACTACATCATGGCCAGTTAAACCAAGATTGTATTGTTTCTAGGATATTGTTCAAGGGTATGTTTTTCAATAAAATAATATTGGAAAATTGAAGGTGCATTGTAACCTTATAACACCTGACAGTGTCGCTTCTAAAACAAAATCGACATCGGCCAACATCGGAATTGGCAGGTCAGACTTTTTCGTGATCGGCCAGAAAACGCAATCGTGCACCCCCTTACTCAGCATGCTAAACGGCACATTGGACCATCTTGTAAGAAGGACGCTTTTTCTTCTTCCGACTGTTTCTTCTTCAGGGGTCACCACAGCGAGTCGTCATCCTCCATCTCTGTCCTCTGCATCCTCTATCTCCACTCCAACTACCTCCATGTCCTCTCTAACTGCATCTATATATGCAGAGCAGAGACACACAACAAGTTGCGTGCCCGCCTATTGTGTGTCTGTTCTGCTGTGACAAACAGCCTCATAAAGAGAAAGGAGGAGGGCCCTCAGTGATTACTGAGCGGGCCAGGCCACCGGGAAATATCCCGGCGCTCCCGATGGCCAGTCCGCCCCTCATCTTCCATCAATCAGCCAATTGTGTGTCATGTATTGTATAATCTTGCATTGAAAACCAGCAAAACGGTGAGTCCGTGAAAGTCGAACCGAGTCGTATCGAGGGACTACTGTATACCCACCGTCCCTCCTCTGGACATGTCCAAACCACCGTCCCTCCTCTGGACATGTCCAAACCACCGTCCCTCCTCTGGACATGTCCAAACCACTGTCCCTCCTCTGGACATGTACAAACCATCTCAGTCTGGTCTCTCTAACTTTATCTGCCAGTTGTTCAACCTGTGCTGTACCTCTGATGCTCTCATTTCTAGTCTCCTAAGAAGAACCTCAACATCTTCATTTCTGCCACTTCCAGTTCTTTCTCCTGTCTTTTTGTCCATGTCTCTGTCTCCAGACCATACAACATTGCTGGTCTCACCACTGTCTTGTAAACCTTTCCTTTGACCTTTGCTGACACCTGTTTGCCAATCAGAAGGACACATGAGCCTAACTCCAACCCATAGATTGGTGCTCATGTACAAACTGCGCCCCAAGCTCAGCGCTACAAGTCCTCAGTTTCTCCAGCCACAGCTTCATGTGTCTGCCGGGCCAAAGACGTCAGCCGTGGCTTTACATTTACCGACGGTTGAATTCATATATTGACTGAAAAATCAAAGTCCTTGCATTTCTTGAAGGAATGCATATTCCATGTCTTCCATGTCAGAGTTTATAGAATGTGATTGTTTTATGTTGAGAAAATATGGAATTGTGGCCATTTGGATTAAACCTTGAAAATAAATGTGCACATTATCATGCAGTACGTGTATCACACGATCTTTTAGCACTTGGAATATGTGATGTGAGTGACTCTTCTACCACCACATCAAACTTTAGCTTTTTATCTACAGTATATAATTCACTGAGATGTAGCTGTTGTGGTGTGATGACGAGCTGTCTTAAATTTGATCGTTTCCAAATGTAATTCAGTTGTAGAGCCAATGAGTTATTTTGCTAACAGACAAACGGGGTCAACTCCAACCGCTAATGCTCCATGTTTATGGAACAAATCACAGTGTATTACTCAGAGTACATGTTGAGGATGATGCTCAGCTACGACCACTCCAAAAACTATCGCTCTGTCTTTGATGGCCTCGGGGGCAATACAAGTTAGACAAAAAGACTTTTTTGACGGCATATCCTGACGCATGCTCAATAAACCAGGTAGAAAAATCTAAAAAAGTTAAATCTGGTCCTCTGGACATTCACAAAAACAAAACAACAAAAAAAATGTAGAAACGTTTTGTCTCTCATCCGAAAGACTTCCTCAGTCTGAGGTGCTGTTTTCAGCTCAGTCTCTTAAATAGCACCTTCTCAGAGTGGATCAACCAGTTTTGCTGCTGACAACCAAAACCAGCTGATCACATGCTCAAGAAGGACCATCAGCCTAACAATGGATCATTAGCACACTGATGGCTGTTTACTGTTCACAGAGGGCTGAGTGATACTAGCAATCACAGCATTGTAAGAGGGGGACAGTTGAACCCGGAGGCCTCCACCCCTGTTTAATGATGGACGATTTCTTTTCACAAAGATGGCCTCCTTTACTCCTCTCTCAAACCATTGTTCCTCTCTGTCCAGGATGTGAACATCTTCATCCCTGAAAGAGTGACCGCTGGCCTGGAGATGAGTGTAGACCGCAGAGTCCTGGCCTGATGATGTTGAACTTCTGTGCTGGTCCATCCTTTTGGCCAGTGGCTGTTTAGTTTCCCCGATGTAAGACTGATCACAGCCCTCCTGACACTGAACAGCATACACAACATTACTCTGTTTGTGCCGGGGGACTGGATCTTTGGGATGAACCAGTCTTTGCCGTAATGTATTTTGGGGTTTAAAAGCCACTGGGACGTTATGTTTAGAAAATAAACGTCTCAGTTTCTCTGATACTCCTTCAACATATGGAATGACCACTGGTCTGGGTCTGGGTTCCTCCTTTTCACCTGATGGCTGACTGGAGTCCTGTTTGGGTTTCTTCTCTGCTTTCAGGAAGGCCCAGTTAGGATATCCACATTGCTCTAGAGCCTGTCTTGTGTAGGATTTCTCCTTCTGCCTGGCTCCTGAGCTAGTGGGGACGCTGTCTGCTCTGTGATACAGAGTCCTGATGACTCCTAACTTGTGCTCCAAAGGGTGATGGGAGTCAAACTGCAAATACTGGTCTGTGTGGGTGGGTTTGCGGTACACCTCAGTTTGCAAATGTCCTCTATCAGAGACTGAGACCTCACAGTCCAAGAAAGCCAACTTGCCTTTTTTTTCATCTTCTCGTGTGAACTTGATGTATTTATCCACAGAGTTGATGTGGTCAGTAAAATGTTGGACTTCCTGAGATTTGATTTTAACCCAGGTGTCGTCAACATACCTGAACCAATGACTTGGTTCAGGTATGTTGACGACACCTGTGACTTTTAACATCCCAATGGCTTTTAAACCCCAAAATACATTACGGCAAAGACTGGTTCATCCCAAAGATCCAGTCCCCCGGCACAAACAGAGTAATGTTGTGTATGCTGTTCAGTGTCAGGAGGGCTGTGATCAGTCTTACATCGGGGAAACTAAACAGCCACTGGCCAAAAGGATGGACCAGCACAGAAGATCAACATCATCAGGCCAGGACTCTGTGATCTACACTCATCTCCAGGCCAGCGGTCACTCTTTCAAGGATGAAGATGTTCACATCCTGGACAGAGAGGAACAATGGTTTGAGAGAGGAGTAAAGGAGGCCATCTTTGTGAAAAGAAATCGTCCATCATTAAACAGGGGTGGAGGCCTCCGGGTTCAACTGTCCTGCTCTTACAATGCTGTGATTGCTAGTATCACTCAGCCCTCTGTGAACAGTAAACAGCCATCAGTGTGCTAATGATCCATTGTTAGGCTGATGGTCCTTCTTGAGCATGTGATCAGCTGGTTTTGGTTGTCAGCAGCAAACTGGTTGATCCACTCTGAGAAGGTGCTATTTAAGAGACTGAGCTGAATACAGCTCCTCAGACTGAGGAAGTCTCTCGGATGAGAGACGAAACGTTTCTACATTTTTGTTGTTGTTTTGCTTTGTTTTGTTTTTTTGAATGTCCAGAGGACCAGATTTAACTTTTTTAGATTTTTGACGGCACTTTATTTTTAATCGCATTACAATCTGAACCTCATTACTTCTCATCTTCTGAGAGATTCAGCCTCTCTAAAATGATCTGTTTATACAAATGCTCATCCTGACCTGCAGCTGATTAACTTAATTTGTTGCAAATTACCGTAAGTGATTGGCTCCTCCAGCTGTTCTTCTTTAATCGTACTGCCCTTTTGGTCTCTGTCCCAATTTTTAAAAAGATTTTGCTACCATCAAACTTAAAATTGCCTTTTTATATAAAGAAAAAAAAGTGCATTTCCTTATTTTAAACATGTAATGTTTACTACATTTCGTCCTGACTAAAACGTGGGCTTATTAAATTTATGGATCATTGCATTCTGTTTTTATTTCCATTTTACACATTTCTACTTTTTGGGATTGGGTTTGTATTTATGTGTTTATACATTTCTGTAGCAGCCCTCTACCCCTGCTCGGTTCTGTTGCCCTCTCATTTGACCTGAACCCTTAAAACAAGTAACTTTAGCTGTAGCTTTAGCTGCTGCTGATTATTAAAAACACACATCTGACATGTCACCAACATCTATAAAGATTGTTGCAGTTGTACAGAGTTAAAACAGGTTTTAAATATGTAAAAGCACAAGTTAGTTTCCAATCACATCAGTTTATGCCATGACGGGCATTCATTACTCCCTATGACAGATCCTATTTTAGGAAGGCGGGTTGTGAACGCCTCGTGTTGTTTATAGACCAGGGTCTGACTGGCAGCGACGAGGTGAGGGGCTCCAGTTTCCTGAAGCCTTCTTGTGTGGACTAAACACCGAAAACAACTTATAAACCCCAAATCATTTTATTGTTAGGAGCTTTCCTGATGAAATCCACCAGTTGAGTTTGCAGGTAAGCTTTCTGTGTCGTGTTCTGAGAGCTGCATGGTGTACAGCAGGGCTCTGCAAACTGTAGTCAAAGGAGACATTTCTGGTCTTGAGTCCCTAAAAATGTTTCAGGAGCCACAAAACGTGCTGGAACTGATCAAGTCATGGCACGTGGGCCACGTCCAGCTCTCTGGGGCTTTTATGGCCACGGGTGGTGACTGCTATAGAAGCTTGAAATAAAGACAGACCACTTCGTTAAGGGTTAACTAATGCATTTAAAATGTATTTCTGTTGCATTATAAAACTAAATATATCCATCCATTTTCTTTACCCGTTTATTCCATTTTGGGTCACGGGGGTCGCTGGTGCCCATGTCCAGCAATCACTGTGCGAGGGGCGGGGTACACCCTGGACGGGTCGCAAGTCCATCACAGGGGCACATAGAGACAAACGAGACAAACAACCATTCACTCTCTCACTCACACCTAGGGACAATTTAGAGTTATCACTCAGTCTAACATGCATGTTTTTGGTCTGTGGGAGGAAACAGGAGTACCCGGAGAAAACCCATGCATGCACAGAGAGAACATGCAAACTCCACCCAGAAAGGCCCCTGGACCGGGTTTGAACCAGGGACCTGCTCGCTGAGAGGCAGCAGCTCTACCAGTTGCGCCACCGTGCTGCCCAACTAAATTATATATATATATATTTTTTTTATTTTTTTATTTTATTTATTTATTTTTTTAACAAGACAAAACAAGAAAAGTGACAAAATGCAGGTTTTTTTTTTCATAGATTTTGCTTCTTTAAGTAAATTATAAACACTGAATACTTCAGGTCTCTGAGCTATTCCCAAACAAACGTGTCTCACTTTGAAATAGTATTAAATTTAGGCCTGTTTGTTGGATTGTTATTTACAACTTGATTTTTTTTTTAATATAGAAACCGAGAAATTCATTTATTTCAACTCTTGTGTTTTATGAACTTGGCGTTTTTTCTTCTTCTCAATCTTATGTTGTTTAGATATTTAGAATGTTCAACTCATCCAGGACGTGGGTGCTAAGACTTTTGGTTTTTACGTTTATTTATTTTAATTTTTTTTAACTTAATTTCCCCCATAGAAATACATTAGGTTCTCTACAGTTCTTCAAAAAAAAAAAAACACATAGTTCTCTTTGAAATCTGCTTTAGTTTGGTCTTTTTCTGTTTGTTTTAAACAAGCATGTTGCTACTTTTTATATTTAGCTAGCCTTCTGATTCTTTTGGCCAGCTTTTTGCTGCTGTAAGCTTTAAGTAGCTTTTAGCTACTGTTTTGCTACTTTTAAGTAGCATTTTTGTGGCTTATAGCTCTTAGCTAGTGTTTTGCTTCTTTTAGGTTTAATGGCTCTATTTGTTCTTCTCCAGCAAATATCAGTCGTTCAACGCTCACTGTATTTTGGGAGACAATGTAATCTGCTTCTTGTTGTTCTCCACATGATTTTGCAGAACCACTTATTGGATTTGTTTGTAAAACAAAGTACTTCCTGTTTTTATTCTCGGCAGCTTGCTCTGAATGTATTCCAGAAACTGATGGATTTGAGAGAAAGACGGCTCCGTGTGGCTGAACACTGGATTAATGAAGTGGCCAAAAGGCTAACAGCACGACCTCATTGATATGTTTAGCTGCTTGTGTTGTATCTTTTACAAATTTGCAAAAGAAAAACCTGGATGAGCAAATTGCTAAAACTAGCCTTTTCTGTTGTTAATAAACTAAAGAAGCCCCATGTGGCCCCAGAGCCACACGATGAAGACCCCTGCTGTGAGTTCATTTGAAGTTCACACAAAGTTTTATTCTTTGCCGTAGTTTCTCTTGAATTGTTTTGTAGCTGTTTCTGTGTTGCAGCCTTTGGGACACATTTTTGCAATGTTTCAATTTTAATTCTAGTTTTTCTTGTTTGCATTAGTTGAGTTTAGCCAGTATTTAGACGACCGCTCTTTTCAACGTTTTCTTCATCTAAAACATCTCATGTGAAACTACAAGTAAATGGATTAGAAGTTCACACGATGAAGTTCTATGGCTCATATTTTACTGACATGTTGTTGCCCTGGATGTTTCTCTATGAATTACTCCGATCAATTAGGAAAGATGGAGAAAAAGTTCCCCTCCACACCCGTCAGTGCCGGATCATCGGGGTCAGGCTCCGTCCTGCAGGACCCTTCCTCTCCACCTGTCTCCTGTGACTCTTCAGCTTCACCATCTCAGAAGGACAAATCATCTTCATCCAACCCTGAACCACCGTCTGATCTCTCTCCACCACCTTGTTCCACTTCTCCACCTGCAGCCTCAGGGTCTGACCCTCAGCCCGGTTCTGTCCCCTCTCCCTCTGCAGCTGCTCCCACGAAGCGCTCCTTTGCTTCTGTGGCCAGGCGGGTGATCGTGCAGGAGCGTCTCAGGAAGGCAGAGGAGGAGGACGCCCGCGACGAAGAGGACGGTGAGAGCATCTTTGTTTATTTAAGGGAGACACTGTGAGCTTCATTCATTGACCCAGTCCTGGTCAGAGTGATGGACTGTGGAGGAGACTTCAGCTAATGATGCTCAGCTACTACCACATCAAACCACACCTTCCCCTCAGGCGTCTCACTGAATGTGTCTCATTAGCTGCTGAGACGATTTATCTTTTTGATGATCCCAGCTGCTGAAGAAGCAGCTAAATGTGATGTTTTTATTGCTCGCTGCAGAAAGGCTAAAGGTGGGTTGAGTTTTTGTCTATGTCTGCAGGAGTGCTTTCATCTCGTTAGTAAATATCTCACAAACTGCTGGATGAATTTGAGTAAAACTTGCAGAAACTACTGGATGCACATCTGCAACTGGAGTTAACCCTGTTTAAGACAGCCACCACAGCTAATTGACATTAGCACGAAATGGCTTTAAATCAGTCATTCTTGTAGATATTGAGCTAAATTTTGATTTGTTTGTAGCTGCGTCGGTCACGACACACACAGAGTGTTGTTTTTAATCTAGCCAAAACAGATACAACTTTGTCATTCCTCAACAGAAGATGACCTCAGCCTGATGTAAGGTGATGGACCATACCCAGGACTTTAGTTCCATTTGGACATCGTATCAGACATTCACAGATCGACTTAAATGCATCTTTTTATTCGCGGTGCAGTTTTCACTGCACAGTAAAACAAGGATAAATGAACAGAACTGCAGGTTTTAAATGAGGTTTATTTAATGTTTTGCTGGTAAAAGGCCTCAAGGAAGACCCAGAACTTGCTGGAGGGATTGTGTATCTTCTCCGGCCTCGGGGTCCCAGAGGACGAGCTGGAAAGCGTCGCTGGCGAGAGGGAGGTCTGGGTTTCTGTCCTGCACCTGCTGCAGGATAAGCGGTGGAAGATGAAGATGGGTTGCTCGTCTTTTGTCAACGTGTTAATTTTGTGTTTACCCAAACCTGCTCAGGAGCTCAGAGCAGCCGGCGTCGTGAGCTTTCAATGCCGAGGGTTCTAAGTGTAGACTTACCAAGATGTTCATGTGATAAAGTTTAGCTGGTCATGTTCAGAGGACTAAAGCCATTAGTGGATGAAAGTGTTGCACATGCACACTAGGGAAACAACAAAACATTGCTGTGACTGATGAGAGTTAGTTTGACACAGCAGCAGGCCGTGACTTCAGCTCTGGAGTTGTGTCACAGGAGGCCTCCACAAAGAGGCGGACATGTTTTAAACCATCACCTCCCACTTCTTGTTGGACCCAAGTTGCAGGAAACGTGTCTGCTCTGGAGGGCTTTGGTCACCTCTGGCTGCGACTGCAGAATGTGAAGGAACTATCACGCAGGTTTGACTGGAAGGATCGATCGAGATGTTTACTCGTTTTCATCTCTTGTCAGATGAAGAACCAGAGGAGGAGCTGAGTGTGGAGCAGCTGGAGGAGAAGGCCAGTACTGGGGATGCCAGAGCTCAGACCCGGGTGAGTGGGAACACACACACACACACACACACACACACAGACACACACACACTAGCTGCTTCCCGGCATCGCTGCAGGCTGACTCGGTCTTGGTGCGTTTCTATTTTCTGCAGCTCGAAAGATGATCCCACAGGATGCCAGTGTAATACACAGCCTCTACTGGCACATTAAACCATTAAGAAAACAACAGCATGTGCTAAATCTTTCCCAAAGATGCTTTGATATTCTCACTGGTTTAACTCCTCTCCGGGGGCTTTACATTTAAGACCAGTGAGTTTGCGTAAGGGAAACGTATGCATGCAGAGAAGGTTGGTTTGGTCGTCACATGACGTCTCGTGTGTCACAACACAAGCCACAGCCCACATGCATCATGTTTACACTCAATCACAAGTATGTTTGTTGTGGAACAGGCCTGTTTCATGGGGTTTATCTACACGTTTTTGTGGTAGTAAAATAATAAATTGTGATTTTTTTTTCTTTTTTTGCAATTAGTTTGACAGAATGTGTTCACAGAAAGAGGAGACGTTTGTTCATCACTACTGTGAGGAGAAAGTTATGTGAAGATGGGAAAGGTTTGAAAACAGTCACTTGATCTGCCCCCGAGGCCTCAGCTGCCCCTGTTAGTTAGCGGGGCAGGAACCCCGACAGCCTGCCCCAAAGAATTATGGACTTTGTAGTTCTTTGTCTGCATGGGAATGATGAGGAGCTTCACTGAGATCTGGATTCAACAGTTCTCAGAAGCACAGTCAGGATGGGTTGTTGAGGAGAAAACCATCAGTTCCACCCAGTTCTGAGTTGGAGGCTGAAACCTGGAGCTTGCTCATTCATTCATCCATCATCCATCCATCCATTCATTCATTCATTCATTCATTCATTCATCCATCATCCATTCATTCATTCATCCATTCATTCATTCATTCATCCATCCATTCATTCATCCATTCATTCGTTCATTCATTCATTCATTCATCCGTTCATTCGTTCATTCATTCATTCATTCATCCATTCATTCGTTCATTCATTCATTCATTCATTCATCCATCCATTCATTCATTCGTTCATTCATTCATTCATTCATTCATTCATCCGTTCGTTCGTTCATTCATTCATTCATTCATTCATTCATCCATCCATTCATTCATTCGTTCGTTCGTTCGTTCATCCATCCATCCATCCATCCATTCATTCATTCATTCATTCATTCATTCATCCATTCATTCGTTCATTCATTCATTCATTCATTCATCCGTTCATTCATTCATTCATTCATTCATTCATTCATTCGTTCATTCATTCATCCATCCATTCATTCATTCATTAAATGTATGAACAGTAAATATTAGCTTTAGGACTAATGATCCAAACCAAATCACGTGTGTTCTATTTATTTTTATTTTCAATGTACTGTCCAATATTTTTGTTTTCCTCGTACCATTAAGATGATGTGTAAAAAGTAAAAATAAAGACGTATATATTTTTCGATACTGCAAAGAACATTAGAAATATAACACAAATGTAAGACTAAGAACATTTTTTTTGTTTGTTTTAAGAGATGGTTTAACATTACTGGATACTTTTTTAAATGAAGGTGCAGCTGCGATGCTTTTTAAAAAACTTTTTACAGCGCTTCAACCTATTTGTTTAATTTGGGAGACCAAAGAAAATATTTCCCAGTTAATCCAGTTTATTTATTTTCAGAGACTGTGTCAGATTACAGATGGAGTTTCTATAAACTATGTGCCGAAATAAAATGTTTCAGCTTTTCCCTTCCGCAGGGGTTGTCACAGTAAGTGAACTCACATGAAAGATTTAGCAATTGTTTTATGTTGGATGTCCATCCTGATGCAACCTGGGATTGAACCGGCAGCTTTAGGATTACTGTGGCACTTAACCACTGCCCCACCAGGAAAATGCTAGCTGAGAGCCAGAAGTAGCTACAACCTAAGAAAATGCAGAAAAAATGCTAACTTAAGCTACAGCCAGATGTAGCTAAGGTAAAAAAAAATGCAGGAAAACACTAGAAGTGAGAAAAAAGCAAACTAAATGCAGACAAAATGTTAGCTAAAAGCTGTATGTAGCTAAACTAGCAACATGCAGTCAAATGCTAGAAGTCAGAAGTAACAAAACACATGCAGAATGCAGAAAAAAGTTAACTAACAAAAAGCAGGAAAATGCTCATAATTAGCCAGAAAAAATGTTTGCAGAATGCAGGATTATGCTGCATGCTAGATCCAGATGTATCAAAACACTAGCAAAATGCTAGCTAAGAGCTAGAAGTAGCTAAATGCTAGTAAAAATGCAGAAAAAAGCTAGCTAAAAGAAAGAACATCAAAGTTCATGCTCAATAATCCAGGTAAAAAAAATCCATCAATGTTCAGTCTGGTCATCTGGATGGTTTCTTTTTTTTTTTTTTTTTTTTTTAGTTGAAAGACATTTCGTCCTCCATCTGAAGGGCTTTATCAATCTGAGGAGTCCCAAACAAACTGTTTTCCCCACTAAGCAGTACACTCTTACAGTGGACCAACCAGTTTTCTGGTGATAAGATGGTTTCTGGGGACTGTCCTCTCCCCCCACTAAGATAAAGGTAGTGTTGTTGTACTTGAGACTGGTCTCAAGACCACTTTTTCATGGTCTTGGTCTTGTCTCGGACTCGACTGCATTTGGTCTCGGTCTTGTCTCGGTCTCGGACATTGAGGACTCGGGATTTTATTTCAAGACCAGTCAAGACCACAACTGTGGAAATATCACTAAATCCCATGAACATTGTCCAGTTTATTTGTTAACATCTTTGTTTTCATTGGATGCCAGATGTACTGGTTCAAATCCAAGCGATAACGTGACTCGTTGTTAAATACATTTTTTGTTACCGCTGTCACACCCACCCCATTTCACTCACACACGTCACTCCCAGTTTTGCCAGATTGTGCGGTTTACTGACAATTGGGCTGTTTTCATTCTGATTTTGCTGGGAACTCTGGGAATATTTTTGTTGGATTGTTGCATTTTGCCACATATTGTTAAATTACCTTGGCTTGTACTGATGTGCGTTCCTGTTCAAACAGTAAATAACAATATATTGATTGGGCGGATTTTTGTATGATGTGGTGGTTTTTAACAGATTTTTGGACTGGAAAACCTCAACTCTTATCTGGCAACACTGCTCACTCCAAGAAAGTGAGACGTGATTGTCTGGGCGTGGGAGAAGATAACTGCCAAATCATCAGTTATAAAATTCACCTATTTAAATCACAAAGAATATACTTGTAACTAATATCCCTTTATGTAACTTTTTAGGTGTATATCTACTACTTTAATGAAACCACTGTGCAACTATATGGTTGTCCTTGGTCTTGAGTTTGGAGTTATGAAAAGTGTTTTGCCACTTCAGTTTTTAAGACTTGGCATGTGATGAAACTGCATCCAGTTTAACACTTGTGTAATTTTATTGTTGAATCACATGAAGTTTGGCCACTGAATGTCTGATTTCTTTATGTAGCTTTGAAATTTATAAAAACTGATACATTCATTCAAAAGCAAACAAAGTTGCAGTATGTAACTTTTATAAAAATATTTTACAATAAAACGTTATATTTTATTTGAGGTCTTGGTCTCGCCCTCCCTTGGTCTTGGTTTTGACTTGGTCTCGGGTTAGGTGGTCTTGAACACAACACTAGATAAAGGAACACTAGCAAAATGCACACAAAGAAAACAAAGGTTGTATAAGAATTTAGAAAGATGAAAGTTGTTGTTTCCTATCCCGCCTTTCTAGTTGCAGAGTTTCATTGTCCTCATTTAACTGCATCGACACCTTTGCTGATGTGAATTATTAACTTTACTACAACATTCATTTGTTGCAGATTTTAAACATCTGCAGGTCCAGTTTACCTGAGCATGATGCAAATCCAAAGTCCGCTCTCATCATCTCCTCTCTTTCAGCACGTCAGTGAAACGGAGCTCTGTTTTATCAGCTGGAATCTTTTATTTATCCATATTTATTTTCAGGATCCGAACATCATCCAGAACCAGGTTGATAACATAAAGTCCAAGCAGACCCACGTACCTTTCTGTCTAGGTTTGTTTTTTTTATTAAAAAAGATAAAACGCCCAATTCTTAACTTTCGGTTGAGAAACATCTCTGATTGATGAACTACTTGTTTCTACAGCCACCTACATATTTTGGCCCTGTTACTGACGTGCTGTGAATTCACTGGAACATTTTTATCTCTAAATATGCAAAGTCGTGCAATCTAGATGTGATTTAAACAATTTGCACATCCTTGCATTTTGTATTGGTTTAAGCTGTTTTAGATAAGAAGCTGGTAAACTCTCTCCAGTTAAAGGACACACATTAATCCACCCTTTCACCTTTCAGCTGGGTCAGCACTACTTGATTCTTGCTGAAGAGAAGGATGCGGAGGTCAACAACCACCACGCTGTTAACTGGCTGATTAAAGCGGCTAAACAGGGACGAAAGACTGCAGCGAGACTCCTTCAGCGCTGCTGGATCCAGAAAAAAGGTCAAATTTAATGAACTCATTACATGCGTCTTTGCGTTTGCAGTTCAGTAACTGTCTGCCTGCTCCCTCCTAGGAATCACTTCAGAGAATGAGGCCGACGTGCGCATGTTGTCAACAGAGAGCAGGTTTGAGCTGGCAGTGCGGAAAGCAGCCATGATGATGTACTGGAGGCTGAACCCCGACAGGAAGAGGAAGGTGGCCGTGTCCGAGATGCTGCAAAATGTCGGCCAGGTCAACACAGTGCAGGGTAGGAGGCCGATGCTGCATCAGATCCATGTTTACAGTGGTCTTAGAAATATGGCAAGCAGTTTATGCATTTATTTATTATTTTTGGTGTCAAACATTTACTTGTTTTTGACTGCACTGCACTGATGCTGACGGTCTCAGTCATCATGTCCAGTCATTCATTCCAAATAGTTTTGCAGCTCCCAGAAAACTGATACCTTTACGGTGTTTATCTGTTCACACTGATTTGATGTTTTTATTCATGATTTTATATCCCTGAAAAACAATTTTAACAAATGATGTATTGATTCCCACGATGCTGAGGGATTTGAACAGTGAATGTTTGTAGTTTTCTGGGCTGGAATTGAACAGGGCGCACAAGTAAACTTTCATGATTTTAGGGCAAGATATTCAAGTGAGTAGGAGTTACAATGTGCATAAAAAGAGAAAAGAAGAGAGGGTTTTGGGTTTGGTTTTTTGCCCAAGGCCGTGCTGAGTGACAGATCACACACAGCAACTGGTGGAGTCAGGGGGTGGCCAATGGTGGCTTTGGCCGCCATAGATTAATCTTCAGCCACCCCAATGATTTGAGGAAACTATGCTTTTAAGCAAAATAAAAACTAGAAAGCATTGTTTCCTCAAATTCTTGGAGTAGCTGGTTTACATATGCGGTGGGCCATCTTGGATTTTGATGTGGCAACCCAAGTTTTGATAGGAATCTTTCTTATGCCTAGATGCAGCCGGTATCTCACTTATTTTTTAAGTTATCATGCTCACAAGGTGGACAAACAAACTGGTATATCCAATTTCCCTCTTCGCTCTACGATGGGGGACAAAAAACAGCCCCATTTGGCTAGCCATTAGCCTTACCTGGATGAAGACTTTTGCCTTGTTCTCCATGACTTGTTCTCTAAGACTGATGAGGTACTAGCTTAATTTATCACTTCAAAAATGACTCCACTACATCTTTTTTATTGCACAATGCAGTTGTTGGCTACTTTGGTCCCGTGGTTCACTAGTGCAATAAAAAGCCAACTAATTGGGTAATATGGGCTACAAGTGAGGATAAAAGGTTGACTATTGTGATTTTTGCTTCAACTAGTTGTGAAAAAGTGTCACTAGTTCAAAAAAAGGTTACTAGTAAGAGTGTTTGTTGTATTAGTGCACATAGCTATTGAACTAGTGTGACCACATGTGCAACTATTGCTCTGTAGGCGCAAACTAATGGGCAAAATTTTTATTTGATATTGATGATGTTGAATAAATACATGAACTACTTACCATAATATCAGCAGGTTGCTTTTGTTGATGTCATTTCTCACCATTAGTGGGCGCTACAAGCAGGATTCCTGTTCCAACTTCAGGCCAAGCACAGAAAGTGTTGGAGTGCATGGTCAACAAGGACGGTGGGTATAAAACATCAACTGAGGAAATGATCAAAAGGACATTTTGTTTTCTTTTACAAATCCATTTTCTGCCCTGGTAGCCAATCAGCTGGTGGACCTGGACGACTTTGTTGAGATAACGAAAAAGTACGCACAAGGCATCGTCACACCTGTTCCTCTGAAGGACAGCCAGGTCGCACCCAAACCTGAGAGCCCTGCTCTGCCTGACAGCACCAAGGAGGTATAACACCCAGTTAGCTAAGATGCTAATCATTGTCACTATCAGAACAGTTTTGTGTAGATATGAGTCTTTGTTTCAAAGCACAAGACGGAGGGAGTGTCAAAAGCAAACAAGAAGATGCTGAAACATTCTTGGAGTTTTGGTTGCAGTGGGATAATGCTGGACACCCAGCAGACCGGTGCCATGAAGTCACGCTTGATGGTATTCAGATCCTTCAGATCTTGTGTGGAGTTTCGCATTTGTTTCCACAATTCATCAGACGTTTGTTGTTCCTACCTGCCCATGTTCCTCAGATGCTGCAGTACCCGCTGCATGCAGTCGTCGAGATGAAGGAGCACCTTGTGGACTGGGCGTCACGGGCTGGTGTCATGTGGCTGAGCACGATCATCCCGACGCATCACGTCAATGCTCTCATCTTCTTCTTCATCATCAGTAACCTAACCATCGACCTGTTCGCTTTTGTCATCCCTCTGCTCGTCTTCTACCTCTCCTTCATCTCCATGATCATCTGTACTCTGAGAATTTTCCAGAGCAGCAAGGTTCATGGTTTTGTTTTCTGCTGTTGTTCATTCACACTAGTTTTCTGTTTTTATCTATGTCTTTGCTGCTTGAAGACTTCTACATTGTTCAATTTAACCATTAATACAAATTGGATTCCAAAAAAGTTGGGACACTAAACAAATTGTGAATAAAAACTGAATGCAATGATGTGGAGATGGCAAATGTCAATATTTTATTCGTAATATAACATAGATGACAGATCAAAAGTTTAATCTGAGTAAATGTAACATTTTAAAGGAAAAAAATGTTGATTCAAAATTTCACAGTGTCAACAAATCCCAAAAAAGTTGGGACAAGTAGCAATAAGTGGCTGGAAAAAGGAAATTGAGCATATAACTAACAGCTGGAAGACCAATTAACACTAATTAGGTCAATTGACAACATGATCGGGTATAAAAAGAGCTTCTCAGAGTGTCAGTGTCTCTCAGAAGCCAAGATGGTAAGAGGATCACCAATTCCACAATTGTTGCGCAGAAAGATAGTGCAGCAATACCAGAATGGTGTTACCCAGCGTAAAATAGCAAAAAATTTTAAGTTATCATCATTAAAAGATTCAGAGAATCTGGAACAATTGCTGTGCGTAAGGGTCAAGGCCGTAAAACTCTACTGGATGCTCGTGATCTCCGGGCCCTTAAACGTCACTGCACCTCAAACAGGAATGCCACTGTCAAGGAAATAACAGAATGGGCTCAGGAATACTTCCAGAAAGCATTGTCAGTGAACACAATCCACCGTGCCATCCGCCGTTGCCAGCTGAAACTCTACAGTGCAAAGAGGAAGCCATTTCTAAGCAAGCTCCACAAGCTCAGACGTTTGCACTGGGCCAGGGGTCATTTAAAATGGAGTGTGGCAAAATGAAAGACTGTTCTGTGGTCAGATGAGTCAAGATTTGAAGTTCTTTATGGAACACTGGGACGCCATGTCATCCGGACCAGAGAGGACAAGGATAGCCCAAGTTGTTATCAACGCTCCGTTCAGAAGCCTGCATCATTGATGGTATGGGGTTGCATGAGCGCTTGTGGCATGGGCAGCTTGCATGTCTGGAAAGGCACCATTAATGCAGAGAACTATGCTCAGGTTCTAGAACAACAAATGCTCCCATCTAGACGTCATCTCTTTCAGGGAAGACCCTGCATTTTTCAACACGATAATGCCAGACCACATTCTGCAGCAATCACAACATCATGGCTATGTAGGAGAAGGATCCGGGTACTGAAATGGCCAGCCTGCAGTCCAAATCTTTCACCTATAGGGAACATTTGGCACATCATAAAGAGGAAGGTGCGACAAAGAAGGCCCAAGACGATTGAACAGTTAGAGGCCTGTATTAGACATGAATGGGAGAGCATTCATATTTGTAAACTTGAGAAACTGGTCTCCTCTGTCCCCAGACGTCTGTTGAGTGTTGTAAGAAGAAGGGGGGATGCCACACAGTGGTAAAAATTGACTTGTCCCAACTTTTTTGGGGATTTGTTGACGCCATGAAATTTGGAAACAACAGATTTTTCCCTTAAAATGATACATTCTCTCAGTTTAAACTTTTGATCTGTGATTTGTGTTCTATTCTGAATAAAATATTAGATGTTGGCACCTCCACATCATTGCATTCAGTTTTTACTCACAATTTGTTTAGTGTCCCAACTTTTTTGGAATCCGGTTTGTATATCAAAACATTTATCTTAGCTGTAAATTTTATTTTTTCCATATTTATACTTTTCAAAATATTTATCTTTATTTTTAAATGTTTTCCACTTTTAAAAAATTTATTTGAGTCCTTTGGATTCATTGTTCTTTCTGAAATTAGCATCAGCTTACTTAAAACATATTTTGGCTTCTTATGCTAATTTTACTTTTCAGCTATAGCTCTGCTAATTATAGCTTTTAGCCCGCCCTTTACTCCTTTTAGTTTCTAACTAGTCTTTTGATATTTTTGGGTTTCATTTTGCTACTTTAGCGTTTAGTTAATGTTAATTTTAGCTAGCCTTTTGCTATTTTAGCTTTAGATATCCATCCACCCATTATCTTTACCCACTTCTTCTTTTTCAAGTCACTAAGATTTAGATATCCCTCTAGCTAATTTAGCTTTTAGCTAACCATTTGCTACTTTTAGATAGCTTTTCCTATTTCACATTTTGCTGTTTTTTACCCTTTTCCTACCATTAGCTTAAGTTTTGATGCTTTTTGTTAGTTTTGCTGTTTTGCTGGCATTTTGCTACTTTTAGCAGCTTTTGCAGCCTGTATCTTGTAGATAGCTTTTTGTTACTTTTTAGCACTTAGCATTCAGTTTGCATTTTTGTAAAAACTAATTTTATCAAGGTGTTTATAATTATAGTCAAAATGTCTAAACATGTTGCAATTAATTTCACTTCAAGTAGTCAAACTTGTTTCTGGTGTTCTCCAAGTGAAGAACAATCTTCTTTCTGTTTTTACTTTTTCCAGACCTGGGAGAACTTCCGGGCCCTGACGTCTCTGCTGACACGTTTCGAACCGGGCCTGGATGTAGAGCAAGCAGAGACCAACTTTGGCTGGAACAACCTTGAACAATACGTTTATTTTATCATTTCTGTCTTTTTCGTCATCTTCTCCTTCCCGGTAGCTGACAAGAAATGGATTCCATGTTCTGAGCTTTCCACGGTGGCCATCTTCTTTACTGCTGTCAGCTACTACAGCCTCAGTCCGGCTGCTGCAGCGTACGCACGCAGAGCCATGTTCATAGAGGTGGATAACTGTCACTGGTTTCCTCTTGTAGTTTTGTCTTTTATATTATTCTCTGATCCTGAGAAAGACTAGCAATCATGTAATTGCCTGTCTGTGTGTGTTTCAGCTTAATCAGCTGATAAACCTTTGGACTCACGCTGACTGAAAATAGCTGCCACGGCTAATTGAGCGTATCTTTGCACTTGTTTCTGCTCAGGTAGCCTCCAGTCTGTTGTACCTGACCCAGTTACTGCCTGAGGACATGACAGTGCTTCGTCTCCTCGGACGCACCTTCACCACGCTGCCGCTTGGAGACGCTGTGGTCCTGAAGCTCAGCCTCCCCTGTCTCCTGTATGTTTACCTCTTCTACCTGTTCTTCAGGTGAGTAGATGTATAGTCCATTTTTCATTTTGTTGTTTCAGAATTAATTTAGAATCCATTCTACCTTTTGTTTGTTACATTGCAGACTTTTAAAGTTGTCTTTCCTTCTCCTCCCTCAGCATGGCAAGGACCCGTGGTTTCCGGGGAACTTACTGCTTCCTGATCCCATACCTTGTCTGTTTCATGTGGTGTGAATTCTCGGTCATCCTCCTCCAAAATTCCTCTGCTGTGGGGTTAATACGCACCTGCGTGGCGTACTTTCTCTTCCTGTTTGCGCTGCCAGTTCTGGCATTTGGCCTTGCCACCATGCTCTTCATCCAGCTCTTTAAGTGGTTCCTTGACCTGGAGCTGACAAAGATGATCGTCACCCTGGCCATCTGCGCCATCCCCGTCACTCTGCGGCTCTGGACAAGGTACAGCATGTCTATCCTGGATGTTTTCCGCTCTTTCATGCACTGGGGCCCCGTCAAATTCATCCTGCTCTGCATTTCCATGGTGCTCCTGCTATTCTCTGTTTACGTGTACCACGCCGAGGGGCAGAAGGTGTACAACTCCACCCTGACCTGGAACCAGTACAGCCAGGCTTGTGGGCCTTCTGCTTGGGAAACCAAAGGCATGGCCCAGACGCAGATCTTCTGCAGCCACCTGCACGGACACAGGGTCACATGGGTTGGCCGGTTCAAGCACGTCCGTATAGCTGAGACAGAGAACGGAGCGCAGTCAGTCATCAACATTTTACCGGTGTTCATGGGAGATTGGCTGCGCTGCTTGTACGGTGAAACGTATCCCAAATGTGAGCCAAAGAACGTCTCGTTCGCAAACCTAACAGCTGCAGAACTGAACAGGTCGTCCGTTTCCCTGCCCACACTGCTTCACATGCAAGAGGAGGAAGAGCTGTGCCAGGTCAAAGCTCTGGCCAGACACTCCTGCCATGTCAAGCGTTTCGACAGCTACAGGTTTGAGGTGACGGTGGGGATTGTGCAAGATGGAAGTGCACAAGCAGAGGACGCAGCCAGAGACATAATCCTGATGGCCAGCCATGAATTTAGACAGGTTCTGCTAAATCTGAGACCCGGGAACGTTGTGGAGTTTAGCATTAAGCTGGAGGGCCGTTTGGGAGCAAAAGCCCCCTCGTTTGAGCTCAAAGCTGTGCACTGCCTGGACTGCGCTGCGTCCACGTTGAGCGGAGCTCGGCAGGTGAAGATAGAGAGAAACTGGAGGTGCACCACAATGAGAGCCCTGAAGTTCGCTTTTGATTTTTTCTTTTCACCATTTCTGTCTGCAAACATCCCGGCCTGACAAGAAAAAACTGAAGAAATTTGAGCTGATAATAATTTTAATGAGTGAATTTCTTTAAAGTAAATGACTTTATGTGATTATCTTGTTACCATTTTTAATTTACGGTTTGGTTAACAGTCTTACATGGGTCAACAACATGTATTTGTGTTGGGATATTTTTTCATGGTTATGAGTTTTTAATAAAGTTTTCTATTTTGATCAGAGGATGAAAGTGGTCACATGTTGCTGATATTGCTGTTAATGATGACTGCTGCTGGAGATGGGTTACCAGTAAATCTTTACTTTAAATAAACTTTTTTCTTGTGTTGTTAGTGTAGCTAAGAATGCTTTTAAATCTACGTTTATTTTTGAAGAGCAAAAATCTAAATTTTCGTGTGTTCTTGACAAAACATATGTCAGAATGACAAATTTAATAAAAACTTTCAGACAGAAATAAGATGTGTCTGTAAAACTGATTAGCTTTTGGAGTCAAACTAATTCAATCAAGATGGCTGCTACAGCTAGTCCAACTTGACGAACACAACAATGTCAGTTTACTGATAATGAGCAAAAATTATGTAGGTGAAAATGCTCCCCAGAATATACTTTGAGCACTAATTGATTGTGTTAGATTTCTGTTGGTATTAAAAGCAGTGAGCGACATGAATTCATCCAAGGAACACAGTGTGAGTTGAGCTGAGGGCTGAACAGAAAAGTTTAATTTTCATCCATCCATTATTTTACCTACTTCTTACTTTTCTGGTCTCGGGGTCACTGGTGCCCATGTCCAGCAGACACTGTGAGGGGCGGGGTACACCCTGGACAGGTCTCCAGTCCATCACAGGGCCACATAGAGACAAATGAGACAAACAACCATTCACTCTCTCACTCACACCTAGAGACAATTTAGAGTTACCAATCAGACTAACATGTTGTTGTTCTGTGGGAGGAAACTGGAGTACCTGAAGAAAACCCACACATGCACGGAGAGAACATGCAAACTCCACCCAGAAAGGCCCCCGGACCAGGATTTGATCTGGCAACCTTCTCACTGAGAGGCAGCCAACTATACCACCGTGTTACCCTGTTTAACTTTTTATTTTATTTAATTTGTTATAATAAATATGGTGCAGCTGTTGTAGCTGAATCATGAATTTTGTGCTTTTACAATATAATCTGACTGAGGCTTTTGTCACTCGCTCTGAGGCATGAAAATATAGCCCAGATAAGGTAGAGCATATTAAAAGTCACCTTCTCAATCCCACAAGTACATCTTCTACAGGAGTAAGCTGAGCCAGGAGACTTGAGGGTTGGTCTGTCCATAACTGAGCCTGAGGTTGTCAAGGTTAAGAGCTCCATGGTATCAGGGCTCTGGGGGTGGACAAGATCTGCCCTGAGCTCCTCAAGACTCTGAATGTTGCTGGATTATCTTGGTTGACATGCTTTGCAACATTGTGTGGACATCAGGGGCAATCCCCCTGGATTGGCATACTAGGGTGGTGGTGGTTCACCTCTTCAAGAAGGTGGAACCAGAGGGTGTGATCCAATTAAAGAGGCATCACACTCCTCAGCCTCCCCAATAAGGTTTTTTTTATGGGTGCTGGAAAAGAGAGTCTTGTTGATGGTTGAACCTTGAATTCAGGAGGAACAGTGCAGGTTTCATGCCTGCTGGGGACCTCTGGACCATCTCTTTACCAAACATATGGTTCATGGGCAGAGATAAGCTGGTGTCTTTGGAGATGGTTCAGTTTGTTTTGGGCTTCTTGTTCTCAGGGTAGAGGGGAAGAATGCTCTCAGTCATAGTAATAAAAACATCCATACCCTTGGACCAAAAACTCCCTGTCAATGTTGTTACTGATTCTGTTCATGACTTTTATGGACAGAATTTCTCGGTGCAGCCACGTGGCGGTGAAGGGAGTCTGGTTTGGTAGCCTTGGGATTATGTCTCTGCAATATGCAGATGATGCAGCCCTGTTTGTGCCATCGTGCCGTGATCTCCAGCTCTGAGTGGTTCACAGCCGAGTGTAAAGCAGCTGGGGTGAGGATCACCTTCAAAGCTGAGGTCATAGTCCTCAGTTGGCAAGTAATGCCCTCTCCAAGTGGGGAATGAGGTGATCCCTCAAGTTGAGGAGTTTAAGTACCTTTGAGTTTTGTTAATGAGTGAGCATGAGATCAAGAGACAGACCGGTGCAGCTTCAGCAGTACTCTGTGCCGGTCTGTTGGGGTGAAAAGGGAGATGAGCTGCAAGATGAAGCTCTCTATGTACCAGTCAGACTACATTCTTACCCTCATCTATGGTCATGAACTCTGACTGAAAGAACAAGATCACTGACACAAGCAGTCAAAATGATTTTTTTTTCTGCAGAGTAGCGAGGTTCTTTAGACGTTCATTCAGAGATTCAGTTATTTAGAGAGACTCAGAGAGCTGCTGCTCCTCCATATTGAGAAGAACCAGTTGAGGTGGTTCAGGCATACTGGTAACAATGTCCCCCGTATGCCAGGTGTTCCAGGCGCGTCCAAGTGAGAGGAGACTCAGGACATGCTGGAGAGTTTACGTCTCTCAGCTGGCCTGATTGCCTTGGAATTCTTCTGGGAGTGCTGGAAGAGGTGGCTGTGGAAAGAGATGTCCAGATGCTGCTGCCCATGTGACATGACTCAGGAACAAGTGGAAGATGATGGATGGCTGGATGCATAGATGCATGGATGCATGGATGCATGGATGGATGGATGGATGGATACCAAAAGTCCAAAACATTTCTGTCATATTTTAACATTATTTTATTAATGCACATTCCTTTCATTCATCTCACTTGAGTAAAGTTTAAATACATTTAGATTTGTCTTTCTTTTAAAGTATGATAAATATACACTCAAGCAGCTGTGAGTAATGACAACATGCTGAAGCAGCTGCTGTGATCCTGAACTGAGATGCTCCACCTGCTGTGTGGTGATGGTGAGGATGGTGCACTTACAGCCGATAAAACACAGTTCACCGCTGACGGGCGGAGCGCCAGATGATGCTGAAGCAGGCCTTTCACTCTGTGAACACACTGAACATTTGTGTCGGAATAAGTTGAACCAATGAGCCCAAGTCTGTGTTTTCTTTTACAACAAATGAAGACAGGAGAGAAAAAACCAAAGTGGGAAATAGTTGATAAAAGTAACGTCTTTTAAAGATGTACATAAATTACCCATCTGATTTCAAATTTTGACAAAGTTGCAAAGAGATGCCCCTCTTCTACAGTTTTTATTACTCCTTCTGTTGTTGTCATCACCTCGACCAATAGTTCCCAAATCTTTACGCTTTTGTCCCACAGCTTAACAGTGGCAGAGGCTCGTGACCCCAATTTTTACAGATTCAATGAAACAATGGCTGAATGAAAGACAAATAGTCCTTTTTGATGATTGAATATTCTTTGGAATAATAATAATAGTCAAACATATGTCGTTGGGAACCTTTTTGTGTGTAACTCTCTAACAAGGTTAAGTCAGGTTATCTGGACGGATTCTTCTTGTTGAAACGTTTCGCCCATTATCCAAAAGACTTCTTCAGTCTGAGGGGCTGCATTATTGAGCATGCATCACGACTTTTTGTTGTTGTTGTTGTTGTAATTTCACTTCAGGATATTATTTGAGGACCCTTATTTGTTCTTCTATGACCCACCGTGGGGGCCCAACCCCAACTTTAGGAACTACTGATCCAGATTAATAACAATAAACCAGTCAGGACCAAGATGACTTGAAGCAATAGATCAGATCATTTTGAAATAAATAGTTCTAAGACAACATGAGCAATTAATAACTTACATGCTTTAAATGAGCTCAGTTTAAAGAAAAAAGTTCAATTCTGACTAGAATGATGAGCTAAAGGCTAGTCTGAAGACAGCCAAACTAGCTGCTAGCTTGTCTGGCCCAAAATCAGCAGTTCATGTCAATGTTATCTTAAAAACCACTTAATCTATAGCCGTTAGCTTATCAATAAGGTCAGGATTAAACTTTATTTAAAACAAACTGGTCCAATATGCTAAAAGCTAACCACTAGTGTGAGCGAGGTCGAGGCCAAAACAGATTGCTGCCGTCTTAACAACTCAAGAACTTCATAGTGGATTTTGCTAAAGTTGATTTTTAAACCTTTACACCACTGGAGCTGGTCAGAATTAAATCAGATTTATCTACAACATTTAAGATAAAAAATGTTCATGGCCCTTTTAAAGAAACTCAGTTCATTAAGAACAAAGTACCAGATGAGAACAATCCAGAGTTAAATCCAACACAGACATCACCTTACATGATTAGCATGTGACATCGCGAGGTATATGCTATGACAGTTACAGCCTGTGACACAGAATGATCAATTCACAATATATTACTGTCTGGACATAACAGATCTTTTAACAATGTACATAATGAGCTATTGCACTGACAATCACCTCTGACCACTCTACTCTACAGACACAAACATTACACCTCCCATAAGCTGAATCAGGGTTTCTCGTTTAAAAAAAAAAAAGTGCAAGTTTATTTTGCAATTGCGAGATCCCTTATCAAAATGTGCTTATGCAGTAGAAAATTAACAAGACTCTTTTTTTTAATATCTGCACGCTAAATAACGGTTCAATTGTTTTGACATATTTATGTCTGAACACCAATCAGCCTCGATTTGAACTCTAAAAAAAACATTCTGCCTCCACAAACATGTAATCTTTGTTTCGGTACGTCTAAACATTCAGGTTCTGACTCACTAAAAAATTTCTGCAGCTTTTGTGGGAGCTAATCAGGAGCATAGTCACAAAAGCCCTATCAAAGGGATGTGTGCGCCTCAAAGTGTGCTGTCAACTAAATACTGCATCTACGCACTGATGAAGTTTGCTCACATTTAACTGAGGTTTAATGATGTATTATTTAAATAAACCCACCCATATTTATGTAAATAACTACCAGGGCACGCACTCAACTCTCAAAGACCAGCGCAGTCTCCAACACACATCTAGCTTGAAATGTTTAGCAGCTCCTGAGAGCAGGCAGTATTGGTGTCTCAGGAGAAGGAACAGAGGAAGAGGAGCAACTGTTGCCTCTACTGAAATATTGCAGGTATGTGAGGAAGAGTATATTCTAAGTCTTCCAGTGATAAGTGTCAGACATTGTATCTAAAAAGAAATGGTCGTAAAAGTGCATAAAACCCTGTTGTTGCTGTTTTACATTCAGAATTAAAAACATTTTAAATACAAGACATTTCAACGGAAAAGTGCTTCACCACCAGAAGTTTAAAAACAGAACATAAAGCTATTATTCTGTAAATAAGATCTGTCCTCATTGCACATCACACCCAGTTAACAGAGCACGGAGAGAGGGAACGGTTTTTCTTAGTACGTGAACATAAAAAGAAGCATTTATGTTAATAAAGGTGTGTTTGTGCTGTCAAAGTTGGAGCGAAAAACCAAGCACTGCACAGATTTAGTGAATTAGGGCCCAAGTGTTGCAATATATACAGATGACTCTGCCGTCTCTTCCAACAGCTTTCTGTGTATTGCTACAGAAAAATATCAGATATATTGTGAATTTCAGAACGTTCTTTTCTGCAGAACAAATCTGACACAACAAAAACTGTTAGCTTCAAGGAACCAAAAAAAGCTACTTCTTTAAAAAAAAATAAAAAAAGTAACATAGAATATATACAACTTACTGTAAAAGGAGAGCAGATGTTTCTGGTTGCTGTTGTTGATGCTACGTTTCTTAAATAAAGAGGGCAAAGATTATGTGGCGTTCTCCAGGAGCACTGCTCGGAAGGAGAGGTTCAGCAGCTGTTGTCACTCGACAGAGGAGGTGAATGGATGATGTGAAAAGATTTACACTCAATCCACCTTATAAATGCTTTGATGTAAATGTGCGATCGGGGCCGTCCGGTCGCCTCAAGAACTTTATGAATCGTAGCCTCCAGCGCTTCCTCTGTGATGGTACCAAGCACTTCCCGCTTTGTGTTCAACGAGTGGTGAGGTGTGCAACATGGTGGGATTAACAGCACGGAGTCACTGCAGATGGAGAGGTGTCCCTGCACCCCATTCACTGCCCCATGACAGGGAAATTACACAAACAGCTTCAAAAAGTGGGAGTGCAACAAATACAAGTCCTGATGGGCACTGGAGACATCAGTCCATCTCAACATCTGTGGTCGAGCAGACTGATTATTATTAATTAGCCTTTGAGGTGAATTAATCCATCTCCCAGAGGCTGAATCTCTTTAAAGCACGACCTAATCCTCTCCTAAACTCTCTCAGCTCCTCATGCCTTGTTTAAAACATTCAAAATGATTCAAGTTGCTGTTTCAACAGAAGCACCACGTGTTCGTGTTCCCGTCACTGCGCCTCAGCGTTGATCCGATCCTGGAAGATGTACAGGTTGTTGGTGGCTGCTATGGCGATGATGTTCTCAGACGGGTGCCAAGCCATGTGCAGGATCTTTTTAGTGAAGTCCAGGCTGTCAACGCCCACGTCGCCACGGCGCCGCTTGCCCCCCGTGTACACCCGCCGGGTCCGCAGCACGGCCCGAGGCTTGCTGCTCTCCCTCCAGGCCTCCAGGGTCACGCCTCGACCAGTCTCCCTGTCGAACATCCGGAAGAAGCTATTGTACGCCCCCGTCATGATCACGCTGGAACAGAGGACAAGAAGATTGATCTGAAGCGGGCAAAGCTCGTCTCCGACATCGATTTAACTGTCGGAAGTTGGCAAAGACGGGTATTAAGAGGTTCACAGTAAGCAGCAACAAGCACTTTGTTTGCTACAGATAACGTGCACGCTGTTTCTTTCCTCCACTCACCTGTCTGAGCTGTTCCAGACACACTCGAACTTGTCAAAGATACAGTCATTCTCGTAGAGGGCGCACAGCTTACTCCTCAGGTACTCATGGACCTAAGAATGGAGCAGACAGCTTGCGTTAGTTTCTGGGATGTAATCAGAGCCTGGCGTCTGCATCAACGTGCTTTCCGGCTGCGTGTTAAAATGACCTTCGTTCTGGTATTTTCTTTATATGTGTAATATACAAAAAGATTAAAACCCCAACTCCAAATTATACCTTTTTTTGGAGGAAAAACAGAAATTTTGAATTTGATGGCAGCAACACATCTCAAAACAACTAGGGGCAGGGCAATGTTTACTCGTACAGAGCATCTATTGTCTTCTTCCTGTCTGGGCTGAAACTCATTTAAAATGGACTGAGGTCAAGTGGAAAACTATTCTCTAGTAAGCCAAAACTAAATCCATCCATTATATTCAACTTATTCTGAAGTCAGGTCTCGGGGGCAGCAGCTTGAGCAGGGAGGTCCACACATCTCTTTCCACAGCACCTCGTCCAGCTCTTCTGGGAGGACTCCAAGGTGTTCCCAGACTAACAGAGATGTAGTCTCTCCAGCGTGTCCTGGGTCTTCCCTGAGGTCTACTCCCAGTCTGACATGCTCAAAGCACCTCCCTAGGGAGGTGCCCAGGGAGCATCCTTACCAGATGCCTGAACCAGCTCAACTGACTCCTCTTGATGTGGAGGAGCAGCGGTTCGACTCTGTCTCTCCTGATAACTGAACTTCTCACCCTATCTCTAAGGGAGAGTCCAGCTACCCTGCGGAGGAAACTCATTTCAACCTCCTGTAGCCACGATCTCATTGTTTCAGTCACTACCCAGAGATCGTGACCATAGGTGAGGGTAGGAACGTAGACTGACTGGTAAACAGAGAGCTTTGCCTTACAGCTCAGCTCCCTCTTCACCACAAAGGACCAGAACAGAGTCTGCAATACTGCAGACGCTGCACCAATACATCTGTCGATCTCACGCTTCATTCTTCCCTCACTCGTGAACTAAACCCTGAGATACTTGAACTCCTCCACTTGAAGCAGAACCTCACCTTCGACCCGAAGAGAGAAATCTGGCACAACACAAAATTAGACATTAGTTTTGGAAACCATGGACACCATGTCCTCTGTGCTCAAGAAGAGTGGGACCATCCAATCTGTTTATCAGCACACAGTTCAAAAGTCTGCCTCTCTGCTGGTAAGGGGGTGCATTCATGCCTTTAACACAAGCTGCTTACACATCTGGAAAGGTATTATCAATACAGAAAAGATATATACAAATTTTAGAACACCATACGGCCCCATTCAGATGTTTTTTAAGCCCTTTCAAAGCCCATGCCTATTTCATCAAGACAAGGTTAAACCTCAGTGCAACTATCACAACAGCTTTGTGGAGTCCAGGTGCTGCAGTGTCCACCTGCAGTCCAGACCGCCCACTAGATTAAACATATTGACATATAGTAAAATGGAAAAATCCAGTAAAGACTCAGAACTGTTAAACAGCTGCAGTTCAGCAGCAGATGAGGATGAAACAACAGTCCTCTCAAAAACTCCAGCAGCTCTTCTTTTCATTTCCTACACATTTACAGCTGTTGTTAAACGAAGAGGGGCTTCACAGTCTGTTGATGACAACGGATTCTAAATTACCTTATTTTATTTTAAAATGTAGCGCACTTTCTTATGTTTACTATGTTGTACTGTGAATAAAATGTGAGTTTATGAGATTTGCAAGTCATTGCATCATGAATTAATTTTCATTTTACACAAAGTCTCACCTTTTAATGCAGCTGCTTCAAAGTCTAACTTTAAAAGATGAGGTCTTACTTGATAGGTTTCCACCGGGCCTTTGTCCATGTTCAGATCCCACACCTTGGCGGTGAGGTAATCTCTTGTCAGCAGGTAGCGTCCACTGTGGCTGAACTTGACGTCCGACACGGAGGAAATAATCTCTGAGAAAAAAGAGCGGCTCCCGGGATCTTCGGGCTCCTCAAAAACTAATTCAACACAGAGCCCAAAGGTTCGTTTATTTAATCATCCTAACAAATACACACGCTTCACAGAGACGAAGCTGCGCTCACGTTTGGTGTGTCTGTCGCAGAGGGCCGAGGCTCTCATGTCACAGAGGCGCAGGGTCCCCTTGCTGCTGCTGTACACAAACAGGTGGCAGTGCTGAGGGTGGAACTCCGCTGCTGTTATCACCTCCGTCAGGTCCTCCATGTTGGTGGGTTTGATGTCTACAATGTCTGAGAAGAAGCTCCATCAAGGAACATAAGGCACAAATATGTGAAGGTTATATTTACCGTATTTTTACGGCATATAAGTCGCTCTGGAGTATAAGTCGCATCCATCCATCCATTTTCTTTGCCCGCTTATTCCATTTCGGGTCACGGGGGTCGCTGGTGCCCATGTCCAGCAATCACTGTGCGAGGGGCGGGGTACACCCTGGACGGGTCGCAAGTCCATCACAGGGCCACATAGAGACAAATGAGACAAACAACCATTCACTCTCTCACTCACACCTAGGGACAATTTAGAGTTACCAATCAGCCTAACATGCATGTTTTTGGTCTGTGGGAGGAAACTGGAGTACCCGGAGAAAACCCACGCATGCACGGAGAGAACATGCAAACTCCACTCAGAAAGGCCCCTGGACCGGGGTTTGAACCAGGGACCTGCTCGCTGAGAGGCGCAGCTCTACCAGTTGCGCCACCGTGCTGCTATAAGTCGCATCAGTCAAAAAAACAAAACTTCATGAAGAGGAAAAACAACAGATATAAGTCGCTTCGACGTATAAGTCGCATTTATTATGCATTTATTTAATGGTCAAAACGGCACCATCCATCCATCCATCCATCCAGCCATCCATCATGGTCTGAGCCACCAGTTCTCCAGTGTTCTTCCGCCCGCACCAGCTGAGTGAAGTGAGTGCGCACGGGAGCACTCGCTGTTTCAGTTCTTCGAAATTTAACAAGATTAACATTTTTAAAACAATTAATTGTTTGCTCGACATTAAAACAAAGGTGTGTCTCAGTTGAACTTTTCCTTAATAAATGCACTTTTATGGTAAAAACAGCTTCATTTTGCCTTGGTGACATGGTGCTATCCATCCATCCATCCTCCATCCATCCATCCATCCATCCATCCATCCTCCATCCATCCATCCATCCA